AAAAACATGACTGAACAATTGTTATGAATGATAAATTATCGGCGAATTATTACAAGTTGTATCTAACGCTGCATTAATAATTTTATTATTTTTGCAACGATCTTCCTATTATTAAACTGAATAGGCATAACATTTTTATCATCGATGAAATAATTATATATATATAAAGCGACTTTTAAATCTCAATAGCATATATTTTTTGATAAAGATAGTTTTTAATATTCTCAACATTAATATCCAATATTTTAATAACTGAACCTCTAATGAAAATTCCGAAGAAATAATTTATTCTTTTGCATAAATAACGAGATAAATAATATATATTTTTAGTTATTTTTAATTGTATTTAAAAAAACTATTTTATTTTATTAGTAATTTTTAGAAATTATTAATCTTGTGTGAAATATTTTAGTTGAAACAAAAATAAGAAGAGAAAATTGTTCAAGGAATTTTTTTTATAAAATAAAATTAAATGTAAAGTTCATGCCATCTATCTCGAAGAGGCATAAAGTTATAATTGACTAGATTTTTCGAGTAAATTGTGCGTAAATAAGAAACTCATCATTTTTGCGATAAATCCTGCTTATCAAACCTGGATGAACGTAAAATTGTCATCATCGATGAAATAATCGATTATCACAAAGCGATATGTTCGAGAGAAAAAATCCCGAGGGAGAATTGTGTCTTCGCATTTTCGTCTTCAGATTTGAATAATTTCTTTAAGAAGCAGAGAGAGTTTATATCTCATATAAAAAGAATTTCAAAATAAATCCTGATTTTATATCGTCAATATGTATTGCGATTATTTTTTCATTATCGTCAAAAAAGCACACTTATTTCGAAAAAATCGACTCGATTTTCAAAAGATATCAAATTAAATTAAATACGTAAAATCGTAATAATATATCTTGATATAAGATTAAATAAAAATACAAATTAAAATTCGTATTGAGATTTACACGAAGCAAATCAAGTATACAAATTGCCTGAAGCTTTAGGATATTTAAATGTAGATGTTACAAAAATGAGATACACGAATTTCCTCTTACCCTGGTGTTAAAAACACACACTTAAAGATCCACCCTCGCAAACAGACCACGGAGTAGCACCGCCATTAATAAACGAGCTGAGACAATGGGGTCCGGACCGCGTAAGAGCAAAATAAATTGAAGGTATCTCCAGTGCCGCTTCCGCTCGAGCTTCCTAGGCGACTGCTCCGTAATTAGTGAGCGTCTAAACAATACTCGAGCCATCTTCCGGAGACCACCCCTCGCGCACACCATGGCCACCCTTTCTTTACGCTTCTCTTGGCGCGAAACGGAATCGCCGATAATTAATTATCCGCTTGCAGGGTATGTGACTGTTGGGATTATTCGCGGCTGCGTTCTTCTTCTTTCGTCTTTCCATTCCTTCGGTCCTAATTTCAGCTGTTTACAGGCAAGATCTTCCCTATCGTTCGCTAGTCGTATCTTGGCGAGATAATGGCTCGTCGCCAGCAATTTCGATAGGAATGCAGCGAAGGAGACGGATAATAGCAGTGACTAAAAAGGATACCGTATATAATTTGAGACGCAAAGTGGCGCCTGTTACATTATTCACGTATCTGTATCTCATCTCGCGTTCAAATTTAGCCCTCGAGCTACAATTACTTCACAAATAAAAAGTAACACAATTTTTTTTAATAAAGAAGAAGATAGATATTTCTTCGCGCGCGCGTTTTCTTTTTGTAAGGATTATAATTTTAATCTAATTCGATATTTAATATTTTTTATATTCATGTGTGTATATGTATTAGATTTTAGAGAGAATATCTATTTTTATAATAACGTCATATTAATAAAAGTGCGACCCTTACAAATGTATGTTTATCTACTATAATAATTAATATTCCCTCTTTTGAAATCTTTCTCTTAAATATCTTAATATCTTAATGTACTTTGATAAAATAATTATGAGAAATTGTTCCATATAAATTATTTCATTTTATATGCAGTAGTTCGTATTTAACATATACATAATCTGCAGTTAAGGTTGAAACCGACAAAATGGACTCTCCCGCATTTTCAGCGTCCTTAGTCGTTTTAGAAAGACGGTCTCGAATGTACGCTTCAGAATTTTGTTATGAATGCGATTAAATGTCGAGCTATTAAACGCACGAGTTTGTCGTACGACGCGGACGGAAGCAACCGCGCTCGTTAGCATACTTTGAAAGTCTTTAATTGCAGCCGGAAGTTTACCGGAAGCCTGCGGTGCACAAACAATATTCACCGGGTAAATAAATATGCAACAAATATGCAACGAGAGGTCCTGTTAAATGTTGTTACAAGTTCGCCAAATTGAATTTCTCGCGGAAGAGAAATTATTTTTCCAGGGTATCGCGAGTTTTTAGTCAAAAATAAATTACCAAAATGGAGATACATATTTTTATCATTCGAGATTGTTTACATTAAATATGAAAATCTTCATCTCTAAAATGTATCGAAGAGAAAATATATATAACTCTTTCTTTTATGTAACAGTCATGCTAAAAATACTTTATATATTAAAAAATTATCAAATAATTGTTTATTAATCATAAAATAATATTTCAAAAATATCTCAGAAGAAGAAAGAGATATCTAAATATTATATAACCTAAAGAATCCTTATAATTTCGCGACGTCGATACGATAACTTTCGTGATAATAACGATTAAAAAGATTAGGGATAGATCAAGGATGCTTTATCTAGCATTTTTTTCTGAAAAGGTAGACAGCATCGGACATTGGACGGAAAACCGCAGAGTTCCGATCGATTCCTTTTGCTACGGAATACGAAGTTACTGTTGTTGGCAGACCAAAGACCATCCTTTCCTCGCTTCCTTTCGTTAATCTCCTGAAGCGTTCGATAACTTCGTCGAAAACTTGAAAGTACACCCTAAAGGTGTAGCTTTGCAGATTCCAAACGCATACCGCGGATCCAACCTCTCTCCTTTTCTCTATCGCTCTCTCCTCTCTCATTCGACTCTTCTGGGCATTTCAAAGTTTAACGAAATGGAAACAATATTGACTCGCGAGTCTAACTCGAAGAGCTTTGTATCGAGACGATATTGCCTCACATTGCGGATGATCCCCTCTTACATCCGCCTTTATAAATTCCGCGAAGTACTTACTTAGTCGCAACTATATAACGGAAAAAAACTCATTTTTTAAATATTTTGACAAAATGTACTTTTAATAAAAGTATGTTAGATTTAAAAAACTAGTTTTATATTTATATATTAAGAAACAAAAATAAAACTAATATTATTAATAAAACTAATATAATTATTAATGTATCTATTTAAAATATCTATAACATCTTCCTACGTGCAATAAAAAATTATCCTTTTATTACGCAAAATTGAATCGTTTTAATTTATATAATCATCAGATAAAATATATATAATAAATCTAATAATAAAATATATATAATAAATATAAATAAAATATATATAACAATAAATAAATAATAAATATATAGAATAATAAATAAATAATAAATAAACAAAAGGAAAAAGGTATAATTAAATAAAGACATACCTCTTCTAAAATATGTACCTCTTCCAAAATAATTCACGATATGCGACGACTATAAGCATTAAAATCAAAGACCGACTCGAGATTTCTCATCAGGTGAAAGCCAGGATATTATGTATCGAGCGAGGGTGTGAGGCGAGAGCTTGGCGGAAATTCGCGGTGAAACGATTAACGGTAAACGCCACGTTGTTATAACATTGGAAACACGGTCGACGTTCTCTACGTTCGTGTTAATCTGGAATTATTTAATCGCCGTTCATCTTACGCGTCAACTTTAGGATATATTAATTATTATCGTTATTGGGGATGATGGAAAGAGAGGAGGGGGAGGCAGGACGAAAAGAGTGTGTTACATCAGACATACCGGCGCGGTATATCTTGTTTTACAGCCGATTATCGACTAATGGCTCGCAAATATCGCCACTTGTTATTGTTGATTGGAACGGAGAGCACTGGATATCGCTGAATAACACATCAATTACGCGACGCAAATAATTTAAATGCAGTGCAGTTTTGTGTTTCGCGCGGCGAAATGGCTGATGAATGCAGCGAGCGAGAGAGAATATGATAATTAATTAATATTAATTAGAGTCGCATTGATGTTAATTCTAATCGATGATTTATCACTAACCGAAGCGTTCCGGATATGTCATATAATTTCCAATTTTAAAGTAGATCCGTGAATTCTAATGCAAATTTATATCAATATTCACAAGCATGTATCCAAATATTTTATATTTAAATAATATTTAATCCTTAAAATAATATCTCATATTTGTTGATTTCTTTACGATAGAGATTAGTATTCTTAACTTTAGTTTCAACTTATGTACTACTTTGGGAAAGAAAATTTCTAACAACATGACGCATGAACAAAAACTTTTCACGCATCGTTATCGAAACTACCGATTAAAAATTATGTTTCTTCATCGGTCGTATCATTGAATCCCTGCGGTTGTAGGAAGGTGCGACAGAACATTACTGTTTTATACCTTTCCGAATAGCACGTCGACACGGAAAAATAAATTCTCGTTTCTTTTAATTTGTCCTTATTTCTCTACCCGCTATTCCATCTTCGCGAATTGTGCTTGGTTCCGAAGGTACGAAAATAAATAACGTTACGACGAAATTGGTCGCCTATTTTGTACAAACTTATTCCTCTTAGGATGTAATAATGGATCTTATGTAAAAATTTTTCTCCGCGAAATGTAAGATTAATTGTTAACAAAAATGAATTCTTGTTTATTTAAAAACGATAAAATATCGTTTGAAATGTCAAATTTTATCAAGTGTTTTATATTATATCTCAAAGATATCGTTATTATTTTATGTAAATATATCGCAATAATTTAAATTACAAATGTAGTGAATACAATCAGTAAATTGACTCACAAAGCTGCGAACAGGAAGATTCTTACAGATATAATCAAATATTTCACTTACCTCTATCCGAAAGGTCCATCCTTCCAAACTGAGCAATTTCAAAGTCGTGTTCCTGGCCAGAGCATGGCACAATAGTCTCGAGGGATGATCATCCAAGGCCAATCGAGGACTAGACAAGTCTAGTAACTGCAGACACGGCGCTTCTGTCAAGGCTAGTACCAATGGCATCACGTCAGCTGGCCTCGACGCACCGGCAGCTCTTAGAGCGTCCAAATTACGAGCCCTTCTGATAGTCTCGCCTAAACAGCCGGCATCCAAGCCGCCCAGAAGACACTTGGACACGTTTAGAGACCTCAACTTGCAATTTGGTTCTCTGAAACACGAAACAAAATATTATCGATTAGTCGGATTGTTTTGTGAAAGAGAAAAAAGCTTTTTTTTTGTTTATAACGACATTGATATATATGATATATTTTAGAGAGAGATAAAAATTTCAAAAGAAAATTTATGCAATGCAAAAATGAATTAATAATCAATCACGTTCAACAAGTCTTCAGAAATTTAATGAAAGATTTAAAATATATTATAAATGATATTAATTACATATAGAATTAACATAATAATTTTTAATTTTAATGTTCTTTCGAATTTTAATTTCATATTTATTTATTTTATTATTAATCATGAAGTGATCCATCAAATCGCAGCAACAAACAGTTTGACTTTGATAAGAAAAATAAGAACTTATCGAACCGAATAGGAAAGAAGAAAGATTTAATCGAATCAGCTGAATCATTTAAGATTGATGGTAGTCGGATAGTGATCAAGACTTTGCCATTAAATAAAAGAAAGACGTAAAAGTACCTAACTGGCAGTCTCTATCTCTCTTCTCATTTTTCTCCTTCCATCAATCTTTCATAACATAGAGAATAGTCGTTCACGATAATGAAACGATGCTTACGAATATATCGAATCGTGAAAAAAACTTTAGTGCTTTCTTTTCGTAAGCTAAAACTTTTGGAGCAACTTGGAACAGATTTTATCTCGACATGATCTTTTTTTAAAGAGATACCTTAAGAAAACATAACAGGATTTTCCTGTCGAAGAAAAATTAGAGAGAATCTTAATCTTTAATTAAATAACCAGTCAAATTAAAATTATGTAATTAATATTTTCTTTCATTAATCAAAGTCTTATCTTTTATTTATCTTCACTGTAGTCTCACTAAGTCATTTTAATTTTAAGTTAGAATAATTAAATTTCTCTTAATTAAATTTCTTGTTCAATTTCATCCTTATTGGGCCAAACTATTTTTAACTTTATCCAGAGTCACGTTTCAAATTATAATTACATGCATATATACGCATTTTTAAATGTTTACATTAAAAATATTTTATCTTATTACTTTTATATGAAAAAGCATTTCCATACTGTCATATTATAGCCCACAAAATGTATTGTATATATATTTCGCATTGCAAGAGATGCACTTTGATTGTATTTTCCTGCAACTCTGATTGTATTTTCCTGCGATTTAAGATTAATTTGACGATATACGTTTCGTGTAATTATGGCGCTGCCCGCACGCACGTACTTTCCTCAAACAATGGTCCCGTGCAATCTCGCGGCGAAAGATCGATCAACGTCACGACAACGAAACACATAATGAACAAACACGCGGCCGTAGCCTAACACCCATCAGCGTAAGACAGCGGTGAGCCGAATTACGGGACGAATAATCGAATCGCGGTGGCGGGGCCGACACCCCGTGGATTTACGCGCTCGTACGTGCGTTTAATGGCGGCAATTTAAGACGAACGACTCGGAGTCTGGCCAGCAACAGCAGCATCAACCGTCCAGCTTCGGCTCCAGCTTCGGCTCCGGCGCGTTGTATCGCGTCTGGATTTAATGGTATCTACTTTGGCCCATATTTACTCTCGACTGCTATTGCCGCGATACGTACGTACCTATGTTTCGCGATACATCTGCTACTACGTACGTCTAATGGCGTACGCTGCCTTTAACGGTACCTGCTCGCAGCCACGGTAAATTCGCTCCAGTGCCGCCGCACTCTCTCAATGTATCTCTCTCTTTCTCTATATATATATATAAAGGAAGAACAAAAATACTGCACCCTATGGCGAGAACATACGCGGACGTCGTGCCACGAATTTCCAACAAAAATAAAGCGTTTCCGCCGGGAGAGTATGGCAAAGCCCACCACGCATACCAGACTCGCGTAATAAATAAAGTTCTGGATTTTGAAAACGAGAATATCGAAAATTCTTACGGTCGTGTGTTCGATTTAAATTGCTTGCAATCGCGGTACGTTACCCGACATTATTTTTCTCAATTCGTTACCGATCGCTCCGTGAATTATCGTCCTTTTTCCGTAGGTCTTCGCCATAAAAGTCAGAATAAAACATTTAATTTTAGAAATTAATTTTATCTTCCAAACGTATTTTCTCATTTACAGAGAAATCTGGAACGGGATTCCATAATGTAAAGATTAATGGAGAATACCGAAAATGTTGAAAAATGTTTAATAAAAGATAAGAATTAAATTCATAAATTAATGAAAAAATATATGCGTATTATTTGTTGAATTGCGAGTAACGTACATATACGAAGCAACATATTTTAGTGGCGGAAAATGGTAGAATCGATCGGTTTATTTATTATAAGCCGCGCGTGACTGGCCCGGTAATTTTTCGACCCTCCATCGTGAGTTTCGGTACTTGTGGGAAAGAACAAATGGCGTTGCAACGCCATTCGTGGCGTGAAGCACGAAAGTTTTCCCGAAATAAAGCGCGAGAGGTATGTCTCGAGGCTTGCGAATATTGTTGCGTTAGCTTGCGCTTATTTTCCGCGGCTTTAACCACGAGAAACTCGATCGCGTTATTCAAATGCGCTATATCGAAGAGAGAAGGCGATTCAGAAAAATACACGGATTAGGCTTTCTTTCTTTTCAATTTGTTTGCTTTATCCAACGATATAATCTCGCAGCAAAAAATGTATGATATAAATATTAATAAAATTATTTCTCTTTGAATTTGCAGAATATAGAATATAATTCTAATCTAAAATTCAGATTATAATTTTCAGAGTTATAATTTTCTCTACATGTTTTATCTAATAATAAAGCTAATTTTATAATTATTTATAGCATGATAACGTACAGCATTAAAACATACAATGATATATGTACTTGGCGCGAGATATTATCGTGTCTCTTGATATAATATATACGGTTCACATTATATGTGCTTCTAGAATAAATAAAATATTTATTACAATATTTTTAAAATATTTTTCTTTGTATATATTCTACATTATAAAAATATAATATACCTATTTAAAGTTTGCCAGGAATAAAAATTAAATACTTTAATTTTATTATTAATATAGCTTGTGTATATATAATTAATAAATACACACGTAACATAGTATACATAAATATTGAAATTTTTTTGTAAATATTACTTATCCAATAAATATTCACACATATGTACTTGCATCAAAAATCAATATTTTACTTATATTTATTCCAATTTATCTGCAAACTGCGTTGAAATGGCGAAACGTGTCAAGAAATGGCGCGATGAAATTTTCGCGTTTCGCGCGGAGGAAACATTTATTGCGATCTGAAATCGCGCAGATAAGCCCCGAGAGCGCAATAGAGTCGCAATCGTAAGTCAAACGACCGGGGTTCTATTGCGCGCGGACGTCGCTTAAGTTTCGATAGTTTTACTGGCTGCGGGAATTTTCGCTGCGGGAACGCACCGCATCGGAAGTCGCGAAAACCGGCTGCGGTTTATAGGAAAATAGAACCGCGCGACGATGCATTTTTGCCTTGGGGAGAGAAGGGATGGGAGGAGGGGCGTTAACCCCTTTCCTCGCCGCCGACTTTATCACGTCGCTTTTTATTGCCGTCATATTCGTACTCGACTTTACGCTCTTATAAAGAGCTTTGTTCCGATGAGAACAAACGTTTCACAACAATCGCGTATTTATTTGCTGACGTAGTAACGTTATATAATTTGACGTCCGAAACTTGACGTTTTATAAAAGCACATTGAATTTTCGCGCTTTTCATGGCGTCGATAAGCACATCAATTTTTGATAAAAGTTCCTTTATCAAAAAATTTATGTGAAATTTATGTGAATTTATGTGAAAGAAACACAGTAACTATATTATATCGTGTAAAGAATAAAAAATATATACGTCAAATGTTTCATAAGCTTATTAATATTTTTTTCCACAGTTAACTTGAATTTGTTTCAATGAAAACAGATTGATTTAAATAATGATAATGATGAAATGATAATGAATTGACTTAAAATTATCTGGCAAGAGACATGGATTTTATACAAGCGTATTTCAAAAAAGCACAATTGAAAATATTTCATTTATTTATTCATATTTTATTTATTTATTACTATTAATAAAAATAAATTCCATATAAAATTAGAATTGGCTTATGTTTGATTAAATTATATTTGATTACAGATTAATAAATTAAAATGAATTTCATATTTCCTCGCAAAATGATCGAAGAATGATGAGTTTTCGCGGCATAAAGATACATACATCGCGAAAGAAAAATATTGGACATTTAATGGCATTACGTCCAGTATGTGTCCCGCAAAATACCTTTCCACTTTCAACTCTACTCTATTCTGTTTCTTCGACAAGCGCTTGCGAGAGTTGTACTTTAGGGAGCTCCGACGAGCTCTCGTGGAGCTTATTACGAACAGTGGAACTCCATTTATCCGAAGAGATCCGTGCAAAAGCTAGTGTTGTATCGGATTCTTTGTTAAATTGTTATTATCCTAAACGTAGCTATTTATACTCCATCGTTATTTATTTACAGCTGTCATCGGATTATTGGAGAAAGCGCGCTAGATCCGCCTTATCGTCTCAAGAAACGTTAATAAAACGCGCTCAACTGACTCGCAAAAAAGTCGCCTTTCCAATCTCAGGTGTAATATTAAAATTCTTCCTCGACACATTTAATCGCGAAAATAACAGTGTTAATTCGAGAGCAAAGTCTCACGATTAGCTACAATTTTCTTAGACGTGCTCCACTTTCATTAAATAAGCTCCTTATTTATTACTAATTAGCTCCTTACTTTCTGCTCCGTTATTTGTTTCTCTCACACACTAGATTTACTGTATTTTTTTAATAACAATCATATAAATTATTTTTAATAATACAAGTAATCAAACATTCATATGCATAATTGTAATACTCAAAAATGTTTTACAAATCTACCAAACCCATCGAATTAATTATCATCAATTAAACGCTTTATAATGTTTGCTATTCATAATTTTTTTCGAACGACAACACAGATAAATAAAAAATAAAT